TAAGATGGAAAATGCTTTGCCCGCTCAGCTTTGATTTTAAACAAAACTCGCAAGTTTGGTTCCGCCGGCTCTAAATTAAACGCTATGGCCATGCCTTTGGGCGAGGAAGGGTAGAAGGGGTGCAATTTCGGGGTAGATGTTATCCCATCATGTGAGCCCTGAGCAATGCAGATGGTCAGTGTACAGTGGGTGTGAAATCTCACGACTGCCCATGAGAGTGCTTGAGTAGCAAGCCACTACGGAAACTTTCCTGGGTAGCCAGAAGCCAGAGGTGTGAAATTAGGTTGACCAATGTCTGCCGCCCTGATCGTACGGCCAGCTGAGAAGAGTTCCTCCGATCGTTGTTACAATGATGGCAGTGAGGGGTGGCATTGGTTGGTGGGGCTAAGGGTGGAAGCAAAGGAGATGTTCAAACGTTTCTGTTTTTAATAGGTCAAACAGTGGTCCTATGAAAGGCAAGCACTGGTGGTAATTGGATAAGAAAGACTGACGCATGTCAGTACCAGACAGGATAGCAATTGAGAGGTGTGAAGTTTTGACCATTGCTTGCCGATCGGACAAGTGATCCTTCATTCAACCGGCTGGGCCTTTGAATCCCCCCAACCTCAGTCTCCCCATTAAATTTCCCTGTCTCAGACAGAATTTTTTTCTGGCTCCCTTGCCATTCCATTTTATACAGGTTCGACTGTATACTGATGTGCAGAACACGAATTAATAATATTGACTTCATTTCCGTCGCAAATTAATAGTTTAAAAAATATTTTATGTTTTATAAAATGGAACTTCATCACACCCTATTTGCATATATATATAGTTAAGTAATTCCTGCGCCTTGGACCAATCGGGGGGTTTCAGTGAAGAAGAAAAAAATCTGGGGGGTTACAGGGCAGGGGGGCATGCCCCCATGTTTTAGTTTATAATTTGATGCTTTGCAGTTAGGTTTGAAATTCACTTGAAAATAATTGATTTGCGACAGTTTTACTGGCTATATGTGTGATCTGCAGCAAATAATAGTTTGACCCTCAAAGCAGTGCATCTGTGTGCAGGAGTGAAAGTAAAAATATACCTTAGGCAAATAGAATCCATACAAGACTAACAAGTGAAGAGAAAATAGGCATTGTTGTGGGAAAATATTTTTTTCGATATACAGTAGCATCAGTGACATTGGTGTGATTACAGTATGGTAAAAAACTGACTAAAAAGTTAACCTAATATCGAACTGAATTTTTTGTACTTCTCCAGAACTGCAACCTGATTATTATGCCCGTAACAGTAATCATTAATACTGACTGTGTATAAGTTGAGCCATTGCAATTAATATTACAAAATAAGATAACCAAATGACAAAAATGCAAAAAAAAAAGGGTGACAATTCTTAACACAACAAACAGGCCTCTTGAACTTCTTGTTCTAAGTTGAGAATTCATTACAGAAGTAGAAATCTAACTCTTTGAACCTCATCGGACACTGGAAGCATCCGGCAGTAATAATCCTGTTCGCCATTGGACGCTGGGAGCATCCAGTACTAGTTAGTGACAACTGTTTCGTTTTATCTAGGGCTAGTTTTTGCTTGCTTTTCGGAACTATTCCCAAACCAAGTTGTTTTTGTAATGACTAAGCCTTTGTTTCCGCTATTTAGAAGTTGGAGGAAAGCTTTTGGGTTATAATAAGACATGATGCATTAGGTTTAGGTGACTGTAGAAAGAAACTCCTGGAAACGGGGGGGGAATCGAGAGCCGCAAAATACGTCTCAAGTGGCTCGTTATCTATTCCAATCCAGTAATGAAAAGACACGAAATTCTCGGCCGATCCACGTTTTCAAAATAACAGAATAAACTTCCTGTTAGCAGATACGAAAGAAAATATATAGCACTGAGAGATCATTTTTAGTCATTTCAGCGCCTTCGACACGTAAATATAAGGAAAAAAGCGCTCCCCTGACTTCAGTATATGTCTCATATTTTCACTTCTATATTAGGTACACATACACAACTTTCAGCATTTCTTCGCATTACTTGAGGCAACCTACCTGGGAAATTTGAATGATGCTGTTGTTTTTTTTAAGATATATATGACCTTTCAAAGCTGGAAAATTGTTCATTTCATATGACACCTTCGATATTGCATAATCACTTTAGAACCCCAAAATAATGTAATTGGAATAAACCTTCAATATTGTATCGCCATCTGATAGGTTATTTTTTTACCTTCAGTTTGATGGGCCATAAGATATGGTTTCTTGTGTGTTTAGTTCGATGTTTTGACATTTTACTTTGGCGGAGTAGGGGCATAAAAATAGAGAGGGAAAAGCCCTGGGCCAGTGGTGGATTTTGGCCTGGTAGGAAAAAAGTTAAAGAGTTAAGGAGCTGACTTTCACTTTGCAAAAATCACCCATAATTGGCGTTTGACAATTAAATCTTGGACGTGCCTTCTATTTGCAACTAAATAAAACGCTGCGTGTTAAATATAGGGCTTAATCTACGCTTCGCTGTTGGAAGTTCTGATCTCAATGGCCGAAAGGACAGCGCGTCTGCGTTTGAAGTCAAACCATTATTTCATGAGCGTGGGTACGAATCCCGATCCTGCATTTTTTTATTTTTTTTTTTTCTCCTCCTCCTGATTGACCAACAATTTTTTCTCATAATTATAACTTGTTGCTTTGTGTTTTTTTACGTAGTGATGAAGCATGCACATTTTGGTTTCGTCAGCAAGAGGAGCTTTTACACAAAGTAAAGTAGGTGTCTATACTTTTCCTTTTACCAATTTAGGCCTGGTTAAAGCTCAATAGTGGCTTTCCTTGTTTTGTGAGTCTAATTATTAAAAAAAAATAATTTTAGGCTCAGGAGAAGAAAAAAAAAACACTTCCGGGACCAGGATTCAGTGCAGAATGTATTCACATTACCCCAGGCCCTGCTAATTTAAACGCCGAAGCCTAAAAATCTAGATCAGGCGACGCCATGTGTGATGACAAAATATAAATTGCACGCAGAGATAGATCTAATAATTATTTTTAGGTATTGTATGACGACACAGCGGACAGGAAATAGTGCTTTTAGACCGAGTTGCACCGTCTTGTAAAATTTGTTATCCAAGCGTCTTTTTTTACTTATTGCCCAAACTCAAACTATTATGATGAGAGATGAACAAGATTACTTTTGTGCAAACAATGTCAGTGTCAGAAACAATTGTTAGATCTAGATTCTAGATCTAGTTCTAGAGATCTACCCAATATTGATCGGAAGCCAACGTCATAAAAAAGGAGTCAAATCCTAGGAGGTTTGACGTAGAAACTGAGAAAGCTCCCTCAATTCACGCAAAACTATACTATTATTATGTAGAAACGATGGCTACTGGTACTGGCGTTTCAAATAGCATGGGCGCTATTCAGAATGCTGCGTTTCAAGGGCAAGGAAGCTCTATTCAGAACGCGGCGTTGCAAATAATAGTAATAGTAATAGCGCCTGCTTAGATCTTGGCCTTGCCTTTGCAGGTAGGAGAAAGTTAAAAGTACACAGTACAGGCACTGTGATCTAGATCTAGAGTCTAGATCTATCAGCTTGGACCTGGGACGCCTTGGTACAAACAATAATAATAGAGAATCTAAAATCTAGGTTAGGCCTACTGAAAAATGATGTCAAGTTCAAAGGCTGTTAGTGAGAAGCGAAAGAAAAGTATACTTTTATAAAGACGTCTAGATAATCTAGAATCTAGATGTAACCACACATCCTCTAATTTTGAATTTAATATCACTTTCCAGTGTCCAGTGTGAGGAATACATACCGACTTTCACAAGAAGAAGTCAGAAGTGCAAGTTTAGGAATGTAGTGGACCAGAACCGTTGTCGACCAACGCTACAGGAAATGGAACGGAAGAATGTGACGATTTCTTGTTTTTTATTTACAGTTTACAGACTTCCGCAATCTCGAAGCACATAAATTGTTTTGATTTTTACTGTACAAAACTCCTAATAAACACATTTCCTAAAAAAGAATTCAACTGTGAAAAAAATTGCCCTAATTTTCTTCTGCTCAAATTTATTTGTATCAGAATCAAAGGTAGATTTTGTTTTGTGTTAATATCATATGTGTTATTTTTAGTTCAGTTGCCTAGATACCTTTAAAAAGTAACAAGATGGCGGCCATCTAAACCTTGTTTGGTTTTATGGTGAACCCTACAGTAGTCCTATACGCGCCAGTGTTATTTATTTAGTTGTTGCTGTTGTGCCAGTTTATTTGGATTTGTTTGTGTCATCCAGACACTAGTCCTGTACAAAGAACAAGATGCCGCCAAAGAAAAAGAAGGGAAGTGGAAAGGGGAAGAAGGGTAAAGGCAAAGGAAAAGGGGCAAAACAGCCCCCTCAAAATCAAGCTGCTAAAGTCGACCCAGAGACAAAAGAATTTTTCTTGATTCAGATCAAAGATCTCGAAGAGAGATTGGTCAGGTAAGTTGTTAATTACTAAACTGGTTATTATGTTGTAATGCATAATTAAAGGATGCTACCTAACAGCATACCATATGCTATTTTTTATGGCTGTGTCTATTTTCCGCCCGAAAATAAACAAAAGTTTAATTTTCCGCCCAGCGGAGAATAGCCAAATTTGTTTATTTTCCAGAGGGTTTTTCAAGCTGCCCGCTTGGCCTAGCAAGACACATTTCCGCCCAGCGGAGAATAAACATATTTGGTTATTTTCCGCTGGGTTTTTCCAGCTGATCTTTTGGCCTAAGCCTCGACACGTTTCCGCCGGTTTTTCAATCTCGACCTTTGGACTTTGACCTAGGCCTAGATTCTATGATGTATTTGAGTGGGCTTAGCTGGCCTCTATTTTTTTTTCATTGTTTAGGCAATTTTTGTTGTTGCTGCAATAGCCTTGTTTAGTTAAACATGTAGTAATTAATGTACCGCGGTTGTCTAAGCAACCCAGGCTGTCGCTCAAAAGCCTAAGAAAGGTTG